ATTTCAATCCCTTAGGTCAAATGAATATATGCATATAGTTTCTGGAGGTGTTCTTCCTGCAAGTCAGTCTCCACCAACCCCTAGCTCTAACATATACAGTGTGTAGAGAAAACAGATAATAGAAATCATCTTTCAGTTCAAGAAAGTAGCCTCAACAACAAGTACAAAACTCTCACTTTGATAGCTATGTTAAGCCTACTTATTTCTCCCACCTAGCCCCCACATTGTGATATGACAGGGGAAAAGCAGTTTTATAGATCCATGGTTATAAGTTTTTTTTCTTAAAATAAATACAACAGAGTAGTGAGTTATTACCAGCAAATGCCCGAAGGATGAGAAGATCAGTAGAGAAAAGAAGTGACATGCTTATTATTCGCAATGATGAACTCAAAAGTGACAGCAACAGTCAATCCAGTTTCTACCTTTGCTGAAGGAAAAGGACTCCCAGAAGTAACAACTCCAAAAAGGTTGATGACTTAGGTTTATTTTCATATTAGGATGTAACACAAACGTTTAGGAAAGACTGATTTACTGCCTTTGTGATGAAAGATTGATTTATTTCCTGCCCCACTAAAACATTAAGTGGGGCAGCAAACATAAGATAGCTAACATTACTTCACACACTGCAGTTACTCATATAATATTAGATTATCTTTCCTTATTTTTTCCCTTTCTTCTGTCTACTCTTTCTGAAATAAATTCAAGGTCATAAACCCCATAAGGGTAGGGACCTTGTCTGACTTAGTTCATTGATGTGTCTCCAATGCAAAGGTTCATACATTTATTAGTTAAGGAAATTGGACCAATCATCTTTATTGAGTGTCTGCTCTTTGGCCTTGTGCTAAGCCTGGATGCGGTGACAACCGTGATAAATTAGACAGTGTTCTTGATTATAAAGAGTATACAACATAGTGGTAGAAATAGAGATATACAAGTGTAGCAAGGCAATATAACTATCGTAATAGAGGGAAAGTATAGTACCTCAAAAAACTGAGATTTTGCTGTTGACATAAGAAGATATTGAATCCAGAAATCCCTATGAAATACGGAAAAGATTTCACTTGAACTTAAAGACCAGTATAAAACATTAACTGCTTTGTTATTCTTGTTGAACATCTGTGTATGAGGGACAAAAAGAGAGGTAAAATCATTCTGATTACCGTGTTTTCTTATCTGAGAGCAGAAGTAATTTTTGAACACCAGTCCACAGAATATCAAGGCCAAAAAACTAAAATGAGAAGAGTCACAGAAGAGAGCAAGACAGGGACAAAAAGGGATGCAGAGAAACTGAGTAGCCCAGTGTGAAATGCTGGCTTAAGTGGACAAGAGCAGGGATCTTCATGCTTTAAGTGCTCATTACCAGATGACAAGGGATATTGGCTTGTCTTGGATCAAGAAATGAAATAAAACATCACTGAGTAAGTGATGTTAAAAAGGATCATATGGGTAAAGGATTGATGTGTCCACTGACAGAGCGGGACTAATTTAGGAGAGAAAAAACACAAGCATCCCTTCCCAAACTAGAAATAGAATCCACATGGAAAGCTCCAACACAGAGGAAACACCCTTTTGCAAAAAAAAAAAAAAAAAAAAAGAAAGAAAAAGGATCATAATGATATTTCACACCAAATTTCAGCTTTTGCAAAAAAAGAAAAAAAGTGAAGAGAGAGGACATTGTGCCTTGTATCAGTCTTTAATAACCTGCATATATTAGTCTCTCAATAAATGGTTGTTACATGAATGAATACAAGTAGATGAAACATGATAAAAGAGACAATGTGAGGTTACAGCTTTCCCACCTAAACTGAAGGATGATAACACAGAGTCATAAAACAAGCATGGATTTTGAAAAAATACAGGTTTTAGCTTGAAACTTGAACTCACCTTTTATTACAAGTGTAACCTTGGAAAATTTCTTTCAAGCTTCTGAGACTCAGTTTTTTTTTTTTGTTTGTTTGTTTGTTTTTTTGCGGTATGCGAGCCTCTCACTGTTGTGGCCTCTCCCAATGCGGAGCACGGGCTCCGGAAGCGCAGGCTCAGCAGCCATGGCTCACGGGCCCAGCCGCTCCGCGGCATGTGTGATCTTCCCAGACCGGGGCACGAACCTGTGTCCCCTGCATCGGCAGGGAGACTCTCAACCACTGCGCCACCAGAGAAGCCCCGACTCAGTTTTCTTATCTGCAAAATATGGATGGTAGAGTAACTAACTCATCGGATTAAATGAAATAATATATAAAGCCTTTGTAAGTGTTTTACACATATTCATTAACTAAATAGTGAATATTTTTTCATGCTATAATTTTTCAATTTATTTTAGCTGCCTCAAAACCTCCAATTAGGAAATAAGCTTTTGAAGGAACAAGTAAGAAAGTAAGAGCACCTGGAATATGATTTGGAAATAATCTAAAATGATATGAAAAGACTTTTTCATATAGTAATGAAGAGTACGGGGCAGGAATTAAAGGTAACATGCTTCCCTGCAATTTTTTTTTTATAGATTTATTTATTTTTATTTATTTATTTTTGGCTGTGTTGGGTCTTCATTGCTCCGCGCAGCCTTTCTCTAGTTGCGGCGAGTGGAGGCTACTCTTCGTTGCAGTGCATGGGCTTCTCATTGCGGTGGTTTCTCTTGTTGCAGAGCACAGGCTCTAGGCACGTGGGCTTCAGTAGTTGTGGCTTGCGGGCTCTAGAGTGCAGGCTCAGTAGTTGTGGCACACGGGCTTAGCTGCTCCGTGGCATGTGGGATCTTTCTGGATCAGGTCTTGAATCTGTGTCCCCTGCATTGGCAGGCAGATTCTTTTTTTTTTTTTTTTAACAATGGAAGACACTTTATTTACTTTAATTAATTAATTAATTTATTTATTTATTTATTTACTTATTTCGGTACGCGGGCCTCTCACTGTTGTGGCCTCTCCCGTTTCGGAGCACAGGTTCCGGACGCGCAGGCTCAGCGGCCATGGCTCACGGGTCTAGCCGCTCCGCAGCATGTGGGATCTTCCCGGACCGGGGCACGAACCCGTGTCCCCTGCATCGGCAGGCAGACTCTCAACCACTGCGCCACCAGGGAAGCCCTATTTTATTTATTTTTTTAAATCATCTCTCAACATTTCAACTCTTGGTAGAAATCAAATGCAACACATCTGCTTTTTTAAATTAGCGTGTATTTATCTCAGTCACAGCAACCTCATACAATAAGATACACAACGAGGAGGAGCATGGTCACAGCATTTCCTATTCCAGTCCACGAACACAGTATTTCCGTGATGATACACACACTGGCCTTTCTCTTCCAGGACAAGTTAGTTATTCCTACTTTTGTCTGCTGTGTAAGTTACGTGGCATCACGGTTGGTTAAAAGAGTTAGTGTAGTGCTAGAGCAGTCTGGAAATGGAAAACTAGAAAACTCAGGACTGGGACAGGCACGGCCACTTCTGAAACGTGAAAAGGAAGAACATCAGAGATGAATGCCCCAGAATGGGTAGGTCTTAGTAATAAAGTTGGTTGAAATTCAGCTTTATATACACATTGAATATCTACACGTGATCTACTAGATATATAGAAAAAGAGCCATAGAAGATTTTGAAAACCTTAAAATCACACAACTGAGTTGGAAGAACATCAGCAAATTCACAGTGGCCTCAGGATTCAGCCAGATTTAAGTTTGCTCAAGAGCTGAATACCTCCTTCTATCAGAAAACCCACTGCATGTAAATTCCTACAACGTTCTGTACATCACAAACACTTATGGCTAAAATATACTGTTAGTTCACAAGGAAGCAGTTTTATTTTCAAATTCTTGCCCCACTCCTGCTCTGCACCCCAAAAGGAAATCCGGGGTCAGCAATTCACATGAGGAGTTTAAGAGGCCTTCGGGTTTAGAAGCGCTGAGGCTCGGCTAAGAATCTCAGGACACATCTGTCTGACGGGCGCACGCCGGCTCCTGCCCACTTTTAGTGCAAAAAGGTCACAAATGCTGCAGAGGAATCCTGGCAACAGGTGAAGAGAAGAGGACTGAGATAGAGGGGTGGCGGGAATCCCAAACGACTTTCCTCCTGAATTGAGACTCAAGAAGTTTGGAGTGCAAGGTTCACGCTCAGCAAGCGGCAAAGACCAGGCTGGAGATCCACAGGGTGAGGTTCCTGAATTGTCACTAGGTTGTCACAGTCTGCAGGCGCACAGACCTCTCGGCCCGGACTAACCCCCTAAGGGCACACTGGAGGTAGGTGTTAGAAATTTATTGTAGGGAAGACAGTGGCCCTCCACCAACTCAGGGGACATCGTCTCTGTTCCTCCTCTGCCCCTGCAATCTCCACTCTACCCTTGGGCTGTGGCGAGTGGAGGATACAAGGTGGAAGGGCATGAGCCCCTCCCTTGGAAGACTAAAGAACCCGGGGTATTTTTATAAATAGCTACATCGTTAATGTTTTAACCACTTTGAAGCACACAGCAAGTTGAATATTTATTTAAAAATAAATCTCAAAAATATCTATTTACAGTAAAGTAAGAGAGGCATGTGAAAACAACAGAAACGGGGGAAGTGTCAGTCCCAGTGTGGAAGGTCCACCCTTCAGAGCGCTAGAGCCAACTTCACAAACCCCAAGGCTGAACTGAGCTGTGGAGGCAACAGGATGACATTAATCGAATCCTGGACTCGGGTCACCATCGATACATGGAGAGGCAGGGAAGTTCGGTCGGGGGCTGCCTCCGGGGATCCTTGTGTTTGGGAAAGGGTGGTGGAGGGATGAGCCAGTGGATGAGGCCCGGTGTGGCAGGAGGGCTCATTTCACAAGCCAACAGGCCTCTAGCTCGCCACTCCAGGTGGGCATTTGGAGGGGACCTGGAGGGCCCTTCCCAGTCCTAGTTGGCTTTGCCGTGGGAGCAGTCGGCATGGCAAGAGTCCCAGAGATAGAATCCTCTTTGAGAGACAAAAACAAAAGAACGGAACAGGGAGTGATTAGCAAAAATGAATCTGAATGCAAGTGCCACAGTCTCTCTTGCCAGATGGCAAAGCAGCCATCAGCTGACATATCTGAGTCGATACAGGAACTCCCACGTTGCCCCCCGCCCCCACAACCACGTGGTCAAGTGCAGGCCTCTGCTTCTGAGATCAGCGCATTAACATTTCTTCCCCATGAAACCAGAAATGTCAGTGGTGTAGCCCTTGTAGCAGGGAGATGCAAGGTCAAGTCTATCTGTACACGAGACGGGAGAACTGGGAGGACTTGTAGTTCAGCTGGTTGCTGGGCATGAACTTGTGCAGCTCGCTCTTTTTGCAGCAGGGGTCGTAATTGTAGGTGCTGAGGCAGGCGTCGCAAGAGGCTTCCGAACACTGCGTGCAGGTGTTGGCGGTCCCTGGGCGGTCACAGAAGCCACAGCGGGAGGCGGCTACAGGGGAGGGCTTGGATTTCGAGTGGAGGGGCAGCGGCGGGTCGAGGCCCTGCGTCTGGCCTGCATACTTCTCCCGCAGAGATGACCCATGGGCCAGGCTGTCGTGGGCGGAGGCCTTGCTGGGAAAGCCGCTAGGCTTGGAGGCCGGGGAGCAGGCGAGCAGGCTGTCGCAGCGCTGGCAGAGGGAGGAGCTGCAGGACAGACCGCAGTTTTGGCACTTGGAGAGGGCGGACTCTTTGGCGGGGGGCGAGCGTTTGTGGTAGATGGGGTGGGCGTCATTTCTGACCAGCCAGACATCTGGTCGCAGGGCATCCTGCCTCCGGTACGCGGCCCTGGGCTCTGAGTCTGTGTACAGATCCACATCCTCCTGAGCGGAGAAGTACGTGCCACGCAGGAAGCCAAGGCCATGTTGGGGGAGGGGGATGGCAGGTTATCCGGGTTGCCGTGGGGGGAGCTGGACATGGTCAGGAGCGAGGGGAACGGGCGGATGAGCTTGTCCTTGAGGTCGTCCCCCAAGTCTGCTGCCACAGGCTCCTTCCGCAAGCTCAACAAGGTCTTCAGGGGCGGCTTCCGGCTCTCGCAGTAATTGTCATAGGTGTCCACCGACCTTGAAGGCTTGGTCACACGGGGCTTGTAGTAGTCCTTGGCTGCCCGCTCGCTGGCCAACTTCTGGAGCACTAAGCGGGCCATGGAGGTTGTCAGGTGCTCCCGGCCCTCAGCCCGCCGCCGCAGGGCATCTGAGCAGCCTCGCACATCCTCCGCACTGCTCTTGCGCTCGCTCACCACGTCCAGCTCAGAGTAGCCTTTGTCCTTGACGTGGGAGTGGATTCCTAGCATCTGTTCACACTCCACCTTGGCCAGAAAGAGTTCAAAGGAGACAATCTTCACTTGGAGGGTCTCTACCAGCTCTTTGAGCTTGTACGCAGTCCCCAACTTGAGCACGTAGCCCATGTAATTCAGGATGGCTCGGATGTCCTCTTCCAGTAATGTGGACTTGACGTAATAAACAAAGGGGCCCGTGTAGGTCTTGATGCTTCTGAATTCCTTCTTCCACGGGTAGAGGAAAAGGTTGACACCCACCGTTTCGAGCACACTGAAGGCACAGTGCAGAGCCCGCAGACTGGAGGAGCTCAGTGAGCGCAGAGAGCTCTCCACCACCTCATAGAACTGGATCAGCCGGAATCGATCAAAGGGATCCACCTTGTGCAGGCTGAGCAGGGTCGAGGCTGCCACCCGCAGGGACTCATCACTGCCAGGCCGCTGCTTGCTGGGGGTGGTACCCACTTTGCCTTCATGGAACTGCACGTACTTCCGAAATAAGTCATCCTTATATTTTGCATCCATTGAACTGGGCTCCCCCATCCGATCCAATCCAAGGACGGGGGCTACCTTATTTCCTCCATGGCTTCTGAGATAGAGGCAGGGACATTGCTAAAAGCATTGACATGTCGCCTGCCTGGACCAGCAGAGTGCTCCCGGCACTGCCGCCGAGGACGCCACGGCAGCTGCCGGAGCCAGGCCCGGCTGGGCTCTCGCGGCTCCGGCCGGCTGCAGTGTACACAAACCAGTAGCCCGGGGCCACAGCGACCCGGAAACACTCAACCAGGAAGTGACGTCTATCAGAGGCGGGTCCAAAGGGAGGCCCACACGCAGCTACGCCCTGGGCTGGCGTGAGGCCGTTGCTCGCCAGCGTCGGAGGAAGAAGCAGAAGACCGAAGAGTCAGCAGAGAGGCCGCTTTGGGGCCTAAAGGCTCACTCGCAGGCAGATTCTTAGCCACTGTGCCACCAGGGAAGCCCTGCTTCCCTGCAGTTTGATGGAATTCACTTTACATTATGTAGATGCCAACTGAAGCACCTTAATCAAATCATCCCAAACAAAGTGGCTGTAGCTTGACTTTTGTGTCATCCAAACTGGTCTTCAGGGGCCCTTCTAACCAAATAAACTAAGCCAAAAGCTACTTTTTTTTTTTTTTTTTTTCCAGGACTCACAAAGATACAGTCAACACACAGTCAGCAATAGATTGATTGTGGCCTTTGGGAAGTCACATGGCTTGTTCAGAATCCCCAGCTGCTTCTCAAGGTCAAGCATGCCTTACTTAAATGAGATATTTATTCTTGAGGACACGCTGCCAGTCCTAAAATTTTCTTGAGGACCTAAGGAGAGCATTTCACTTGAGGACATTTTTACTGGGGGAACTTTATGGTTGGCTGTGTAGTCTGTCAAAAACAAAAAATCACCTGAAGGTGGTCTTAATTTACCTTATTACTGAAAGGAAAATGTGCTGAGATAAAACTACTGCAGGATAAGTAGGCTTTTAGGCACCTTCTAGTATGTAATATTGAAAAACTGTAATATGTTTTTCTGAAGGGGTTGGTAAGAAGATGTGGAGAGGAAGTTTTATTTAGGAATTGCACATCTTAAAAAAGCAAAGTTTTTTTCTCAGAGAAGAGTCCCTTGATAAATACTATACTTCAATAGTAGCAATTTCTGCTGAGTTTCTATAAACGTTATCATATCTATGTTTACATCTATCATTTTAATAATATTCACATGTTGCTTTTAATTGTACTTTATTCCACTTTTTCTCAATAAAATTTCAAATCCATTGAGTACATATGGATTGATTCTTCAGCGTTCATACAACAAAGATTTATTAAGCACCTACTATATACAGGAAGTACCTATATTATTCTAGAAGACAGCAAGATATAATAATAGAAAGTATTTACTTTAAAGGCCAGTGACCTTGAATTTAAACTCAGCTTTTACAGTTACAGTCTTATGACCTGTGGCCATCTGACTTCAGTTCTCCGAGTCTCAGTTTCCTCATATGTATAACAGTACTAATGAAGCCTTATGGACAAAACTGCTTGGAGAGTTCAATAAAATAATTTTCAGAGACCAAACATTTCCTACTATATAATACGTATGCAATAAATGTAAGCCCCTCCCCAAGCCTTATATGTCAGGTGCTGGAGAGCTACATGATATATGTGTCATACACACACGGGCAGGGATAACTATGATATTTATAACTCAAATCTGTGCTAACATACTAATCATTCTAAAGACAATCCTGCTTTATACAGACTCCTTGGTTATACCAAGCAGCAAGCATTAAATGAGTCCTGGTATTTCCAGAGCTGCATTATATCTCATTTGAGATATTTCCTAAAAAAGTGTAAGAAATCTTGGCACTAGCAAATCTAAATATATTCATAGATTTGACTTCAGCTTGTCATATGCATTCTCTTAAATATAAGGCACTTTATAGTTTATAAATGAGCACAGTAATTCACATGCCCCGGGGTGGTTTTGATTTGCTTGCATTTAAAAAGGAACACTCTATCAAATGATGGGGTTTATCCTTTTAATAATTAGGAAGAGTTCTATTAAATTCCACCAAGGCCAGTCTTTCAACTTTAAGGTTGCAATCTCTATTCAGAAGAAAGATTTTAATTACCTCTTTAACCCCTCTCAATTCCACTATGATTTATAATGATTGTCATTTGCCTCCTTCTGGGGCAGGCATCCACAGCTCTGCATGCTCTGTCTCCTGTCTTAACTGCCTTCTCAAAATTGAAACTTCATTAACACCTTACTCATAACTTGTTTCTCAGAGTCCTTCCGGTGAAAGGAACATCCATTTGACACCCTGAAGATTCAGGAGGACTATGCTAATTTGCATAGCAGTTTGCACAGTTTTTGTTGCATTAGTTTAAGGATTAGAATTAAGAAGTGACATGTCTTCCCTTATCATATAATTGTGTGAATACAACTCTTAGAATACTCTGGATCCAGCCTGAACAAAAACTTAATGGAGAAAAGAGGGGATAGAAGAGAGAAAGAATCCAGGCTAATGCTGTGGTTCCATATCTAGAAAAGACTACAGAGAAGTCATGGATAGATACGTTTGGGTCCATCTGGCTCCATTTTCACTCCTGGTGCTATTCTTTCCTAAATTCAGAAATGCCTTAGTCAACTTCTTTACTAATTTTTTCAAATCTAACTATTGTCCTTGTCACTGGCCGTTAATTCTCTAGCTTAGCTGTTTTGGTCTTTTCCAGAGATAGGTGAAACCACATTATCCTTTCTTTCTAGTTTTCAAAACAATAATGAATTTGTAAGTCCCCAGGAGGATGCCATTCTTCTGCAGGGCAGTAATAATGACTAAAACGGTTAATAAAACATTGCAGACATGAACTCCCAATGTGTAGTGCAGCGCAGAAATTGGGAATCATTCTGGAGTCCGACTCCCTGAGAATGAATCCCAGGTTCACTATTTTCTAGCTGTGTAACCACGAGAGAGCTACTTAAAAACCTCTGAGCTTATTTCTCATCTGCAACAAATGGATAATAACAGTATCTACTTCACAGGGGTTTCTGATGATTAAAATAAGTTACCTATTGTAATCCAAACGTGAAGTATAGCTAGGGCCAATAAATATTAGCAAATTGTTATTACAGAAAGATACCTTAATTTCATTTTGACTGGATCATAACAGAAACCAGGTCACTGAAGGAATAGAACCCACAGTGAAAAATCCCATGAGAAATGTGTCTGTGAAAACCCAGAGGCCATAAATGATTTTTTGACATGTTTTATTAGAGAAAAACATTTTCTCCTTATTTTGAGAAAAGCACTTAGATCTGTCCGGATTAAAGAAAAAGAATGAAGCAAGAGCAAAATAGCACAACTCAACATGATCCATCATTGCAGAGGTAGCCTCTGATGCAACCATCAAGCTGCAATCAAAAGGCTAAATGAACAGTATTGTTGCAAGGAATGAGAAGAAATGAGAACTCACTAAGGGAAACTACCGCTATGGGCTCTTGAAAATTCATCTCTCAGAAAATGAGGCAAAAAAAAAAGATCATGCCAAGTCTTTTTAATTGATGAATAATTTATGGACGACCAGCAGGAGCATCCATCCAGGCAGCTGATTAAATGCAAAGTATTTTGATAAGCAGAAAGTTACCACCACAGGCCTCACAGTGAAAGGAAAGCATCCCCAGCAATCAACGCCAGTCTATATGTTGGTACGTGTTACCTAGTGTCTTCCTAGAAGCTTATTTCCCCATCTCATCCCGCTTTATCACTGGCAGAAAAAGTTACCCTCTCTGTGAGTTTCCTTCTCCTGTCAAAATGATAGAGGCTAAATGTGGATAAGAAAGGCAATTCAAATAGATCTGTCACAAGTATTCTATCCCAGTGTGCCATCCTGATTTCCTTCTCTAGTGTGAACTGCTACCAGAGGATGGTAACTGAAATTTGTCAATGTTGACAGCTGATGACTAATATGGAGATTTTCATTACATATCCCTCCTGGAATGGAAAAGAGATGAGTGCATATTAAATTCCAGATGGAGGCAGCTGTAGGACAGGGAAATGCAGACACTACTCAAGCCAGACGTGCAAGAACTGTTTGGGAGAACTGTAAGATCCTCTGAAGTTAATTTGTGTGGAAATAGAGATGGCATTGGTTTTCTTCATTTTTCCCTGAGTAGCCGCATCATTTTCAACATGACC